TACCGTTCTCTCTTAGCCCCAAGGGCCCCTTCTTTTGCCTCGGTAACCTGTTTTCTGAGCCCATTTCTTCTAACACTCACTTCTTCCACCTCTATGATTTTCTAAAGAAACTTTCTCTTATAGTTTGGAAAAAAAAAAATCCAACCATTTCACTTCTGATAAGCCTCCTCCAAAAGACTGTTCTGGCAATATAAGCAATTATTGGAACAGAGGAGTACGTCTAGAGAAGGCAAAGAACGTGAGGCTGAAATTACAAAGACACGGATGAAGGGCGCCCTCTGGAGGCGTCCGCTGGCTCACTCTTCTTTCCTGTTCCATTTGTTATTTACCCACTACTCAGCACAGGGCTATATAGGTTTGCTCAGTGGGTGAAATGAGAAATCTGACACATCAACCCTTGACTTTTATCCCCTTCACTGCAGGCTACCTATTCCAGTTATACAAATAATGTCCCAGATCCTTCTGTAAACATTCTGCCTTCTCCTGCCACCAACATTGTCCACACTTACTTGGACCTCTCCCCACCCACCTTGTTGCTAACATTATGCCCCATGCTTCTCACCTGGCCGCGGGCAATCTTGAAGGGTGTAGCATTCACCATGTGGTGCTTTCGGATGCCACTCCATCTGGTACGGTAGTCCACAATGTGGCAGGGGGGAAGGATGTACTCATCATAGAGCACGTCTCCATTGTAGTTGATGATGCTACATCGAGCCAAGGAACTCACATGCCCCTTGGGTCCTGTGCCCACCATCTCACAGTCAATTGCCACCATCTTCCTTGGCACATTCTGGGATGCTCCAGAGCATTTATTCTCTGAATGAGCTGGAGTGGAGTACTGTGGGATATTTTTCTGAGACGGGTTCTTTTGCGGGTCCTTCTTCTGGGGGTCCTTCTTCTGGGGGCGAGCTGGGTGGCTCTTGATCTTTGGAAGAGAACTCTGGAACTCCCCCAGCAAATCTGCTTTAGCCACAAGAGAACCAGCCTTCTGTGAAGGGGCAGGGGTCAGCCAAGGCACAGAAGCTTTCTTGTCCAGGGACTGCCCTGACCCAGTGCTGGAGGCAGCAGTCTTCTTCTTTTTTGGAAGGGGAGAAATTTTCCAAGTGCCATTCACCTGGGGAGTTACCCCTTTCTTTGGAGGTTCTGAGTGCAACTTAGGCACATTATTAGGGGGCTGGTTCTTCTTATTCAGAATGCCTCTCCTTTCCAAGAGCCGCCGCTTCTTGACAAATTTTTGGTGCTTGGCATTCCCTTCTAATGCCTTTTTGGGGGGAGGTTCGCCAAAATCCAGATTGAGGAGTAAGGTAGACATGAGGATGGTGGATGGTAGGAGAGCAGTTGGGAAGAGTGGCTTACCAATGAAAGGATAGACTCATCCCCTGCTGAATCTCACAGACCAGCATCTGGAGGTTTGTGGTATACCCTGGAGAAGAAAGTGAACCTGATAACAGAGCCCAATTGGCCTGGGAGAACCATGAGACCCATCTCCATTGGACTTGAGGGAGGTAATACATCAGAGCAACCTCCCAGATAGAGGGGGGATGAATCTGTAATGTGAAATGACCGAAGGAGCACTGTCTGAGACAAGCCCACAATTCACCAGCCCTAAGGTCTTAGGAAGGTCATTTCCCCCCCTCTAGATCTGTCTCACTTGTAAACAGAGGGTTGAAGAGCCAGCCAGCTTGACTCTCTCTGAATATGGGAAGCCAGAATACGTGAGCTCTACATCTGCCCAGGGAAGGGACGTTTACGTACGCTCGAAACCAGTGACGAGTACCGCACAGATGACCTCTAGACTAGCCAGGCTTCCCCAGTGCCGGCCCTACAAATAGATATAATTCCGGGTACCCCTTCCCCCGGTTTCCAGGTGGAGGCCATCTCCACATGCTTCTCACCCAAGTCCTCCGAAGAAACGACCTTTGACAACACATGGCAGCAGGGGGGGAAGCCGAGGCTGGGAGCTGTCTACCTCGGCGAGCACACTTCGGGGGTCCGGGTCAGAGAGCCCGTTTCCCACCACCACCTACCTCCCCGACGGGCCCGCTACGCCCGGAAACGCCTGAAGCCGGATACGGAAATTGGCGCGCGCCGGGGCCGGGGCCGGCTGACTCGCGGGCGGGGACGCGCCGGAGGTCGGCGCGCGCCTTCTCAGGGCCCCCAGCCTCCCGGAGCGAGGCCAGGGACGCGGAGTGCTAGGGCCGCGGCGGCAGGAGCGGGGTGCGCTCCGCGGCCCCTGTAGCCCAGCGGAGGTCCAACTCGACGGTGTGGGGAGGCCGAGACGAACCGGAGCCGCCGCGCGCCGGGGCCCCGGGCCTCACTTCCGGGATGGGCGGGACCTGGTCGCCGCGGCCCGCCTCTGTGGCGTCACTGTCAGGGACCCCTCCCCGGTCATCTTAGACGCTGACACCTTCGCGCTGTGGGTGTCGCAACCTGTGACGTCAGAAGGACGCCTCAGGTCTTAAGCCTCTACCAGGAACCCGGGAAAGGCGGCGTCCCGGGCCGGTGCAGAGCGCCTTCTTCCCGTCCCGCCTGCGGAGCTGAGCCCGGCGCGGGTCCTGCACGCGCGTGGCGCTGACGCCGCTTTCCTCCTCACCGCGTTCTCGCTCCCGGCGCCACCGGCTGGACCCCGGATGCCAGGCGTTTCCGCCCGGGGCCTCTCTCACGAGGAGAGGCGGCAGCTAGCTGTGAATCTCACCCGTGTCCTGTCTCTCTACCGCTCCATCCTGGACGCCTACATCATCGTGAGGCCACGGGGTTGTGGGCGGGGTCCTCCTGGTTGTGTGCTTCGCTAGGTGCCCACGACAGGGAAAGAACCTGGAGAGTTTAGCTTCTGATCTCTTTTCTAAGACTTCCACTCTGTCTTTATAAGAAGGGGTTAAAACTGGAGCGATTCTTTTTTTTTTTTTACAGATGACACAAATATTAATATTTCTAATATATAGGTTATTTCTCTAATCTTTACAAATCCAAAGTAATAAAACGCATGGCCATTTGAGCCATGCTGCAGCTACGTTGAAGTCTCCTAGGAACATGTGAGGTGTTCCAAGAACACAAGTTTATTCACCCACGCTTTGAATAAATTCGTGGTTTTGTAATGTCATGGATAATTTAAACTTTGGAATCAGGCACACTCCAACAGAATCCTGCCTCCCCTACTGTGTTAACCATAGGCATTAAATAAAAATTCCTCCTAGCCCTGGTTTCTCAGCTGTAAAATGGATTCCTGTTTGAAGAATCATTGTGAAGAATAAATGAGATGATGTATTAATGGCACCAGCATCCACTGAATTGTTCAGCCCCCAAACCCAGAAGCCATCCTTTTTTTTTAAAAGTATGTTTTTATTGACTTTAGAAAGAGGAAGGGAGAGGGATAGAAACATCGGTGGGCTGCCTCCTGCATGTCCCCAACTGGTGATCCAGCAGGAAACCAAAACCCAGCATGTGCCCTGATGGGAATCAAACTGATGACCTTTTGGTTCATGGGTCCATGCTCAACCACAGAGCCACACCAGCCAGGCCCAGAAGCCATCCTTGATTCAGCTCTTTCCTTCAATAATTCCTGTTGGCTCTACCTCTAGAAAAGATACCAGATTCACCCACTTGTCTCCATTTCATGACTACCACCCTGGGCCAAGCCACCATCACCTCTCTCCTGGACTACTTCCTAACTAATCTCCTTGTTTACTTCAGCCCCTCCATAATCAGTTCTTCACAAGCAGCCAGACTGATCTCTTTAAAATATAATTCTGATCATGGCAGTCCCTTCCTGGGTGTTTTGATGAAATCGTAACTCCTTACCAATACCAGTGATACCTGTGAAGCCCTACAGGATCTGTCCCCTGTCTCCTGAATCCCATCACATTTCATTCTCTTCCACATTCACTATACTGCACCCCAGTGTTCTGATTTCTGCTCCACAAATATGGCAGGCATCTGGGCCTTTGCTCTTACAGATCTGCCTGGAATGTTTGTCCTCAACAGAATGGCAATAGAGTAGTATGGTTAAAAGCAAAAATTCTAGAGTCGGGTTAATTTCAAGTCCCAGCTCTGATACTAGCCTTTTAAAAAAAAAAAAAAAATCTTTATTGATTTCAGAGAGAGGAAGGGAGAGGGAGAGAGAGAGAGATAGAAACCTCAACGATGAGAGAGTCATTGATAGGCTGCAGCCCGCAACCTGGGCATGTGCCCTGACCAGGAATTGAACCCCAATCTCCTGGATCCTAGGTTAACACTCAACCGCTGAGCCACCCCTGGCCGGGCGATACTAGCTTTTTGACTTGGGCAAGTTGCTTAATTGTGTGTCAGTTTTCTTATCTGTAAAATGAGGGATAAAAATGGTTGCTACCTCAGTGTTGTTTTGGGGATTAAAGGTGTTAATACATATATATAAAATGTTTAGAACAGTACCTGGAATATTAAAGTATTTAATAAGTGTTTCCTATTACCTGAATTTTTTTACATGCCTGTGTCCTGTTCATCATTCAAGTCTCAACTCAAGTGTCAACTCAAGTATTCCCTCATTACTCTCTAAAGTAGTTCTCTCTCAGTCTCCTACTATTTTGTTAGTGTTTTATTGTCCATGTGGCATTTGATGTTCTGAAAAAGAATTGTTTTTATGTAAACTGTGCAAGAATAAGAATTTTGTCTGTCTGGTTCATTGTCATATCCCCTGAGCCTAGAAAAGTACATAAACAAAGCTCCAGAATCTGTGTTCAACAAATGAATGAATAAAAATACATTCTGGCATATCAAGTGTCTGGTATATATAAGGGTAGGTTACTAAATGGTAACATACTAGTACAGCTTGTTAGTCACTGTGGTGTTGTGGATGCTGATATAAAGAATACACCATTCCTGCCCTTAGGTTCTCCATTCAGTTGAGTGGAGAGAACAGACACATAAGTAAGTGGGAAATTGCTAAAAGGAGAGGTGAGTTCAGAATGCACTCCGGGCTCCGAGGAAGGAGTGAGAGGCTGGAGCAGGCTTTAGAGAAGAGGTGACTCGCATGAGTAGGAGGTACCTGCTGGTGTAGCCAGTGGTCCTGTGTTGAGAGTGGGGTGGGGAAGAATGGGAAAGGTAGTAGCCTGTTGATTCCTTCTGCCCTTCTGCAGGAATTTTTTACAGACAACCTGTGGGGCACACTCCCTTGCTCATGGCAGGAAGCACTGGATGGACTGGACCCACCACAGCTGGCCACACTGCTGCTGGGGATGCCTGGAGAAGGGGAAGTGGTCAGGTATAGGCAAGGGGGCCCTGTGCTAGGGGACTTGGCACTGAACCCTGCAGCCAGCCATTGCTCAGAGAGTCTCACAAGGGCTTCCTGGGTTGTAAACTGGTGCACTCAGGACACAATGGGACTATTCACTGGGGGTCTGGGCTGGGCTATCTCAGGTACAGGTCGGTGTGGCCACTCACCCTGCTGGCCCTGAAGTCCACCGCCTATGCGCTGGCCTTTACCCGGACGCCTGGGTTTCAGACCCCCTCAGAGTTTGCGGAGAACCCCAGCCAGAGCTCCAGACTTAGAGCTCCATTCCGAAAACATGTCAGGCCCAAGAAGCAGCATGAGATCCGGAGGATGGGAGAGGTGAGGACATGCCTGGGGTTTAGGTGTTGTCTGGGAGCCTGGGGACTGAAGCTGGTGGGTTACAAAGATGTGGGCACTTTAATTCACCTGCAGGACCAGAGGCCCTAGAGGGTCCCTTCCTTGGCAGGCATACTAAAATCATATCTCAAGGCTGGGTTTGGGGATTGGGGGAGATGTTGGTGTGTTTTTTTTTATCCTTTTGCTGGGTGTGTTGGTAGCTATGTCTGAATTGCTGTCTTACTCCTGTTTTCACACCTCCATAATCTGCTCTTAGATTGAATCACTGACCTGAGAGGAGCAAGGAGAGGAGCCTGAGCTCAGGGCCAGCACCCCATTTTAGCTTCCCTATCTCATCGCTCCCATGGCACCCTCTAACCCTCTTCCTCTGCCATCTTAAGCTCCTCCACCCTCATTATGGATGATGGCCATGGGAATCAAGAACCAATGGCCAAGAGACCTTTGTTCCCTCTTTCAGCTGGTGAAAAAGCTGAGTGACCTCACAGGCTGCACCCAGGTTGTGGATGTAGGCTCAGGCCAGGTGAGCCAGACAGACTCCTAACATTCTGTTTTTTTGTGGGTTGTTTTTGTGTGTGGGGGGGTGTTGAGTCATGGGGATAGAACAGCTGGAAGGCAACAGGTTGTCAGGCCCTAGGTTCAGGGAGGCAGTTACCAAGGAGTGGTAGAAGTAAATGGCAGAATTTAAGTCTTCTGGGGGCCTGGGACCCAGGTGTCTAGGCTACTGATAGAGAAGGTAACAGTGGATAAGAGCACTGAACAGGGCTGTCTCTACCCTCCCTCTCATGACTCCAGGGCCATCTCTCCCGCTTCATGTCCCTGGGGCTGGGGCTGAAGGTGAAGAGCATTGAAGGGGATCAGAGACTGGTGGAGAGAGCCCAGCATCTGGACCAGGAGCTCCTGCAGGCTCTGGAAAAAGAGGAGAAGAGGAACCCACAGGTAGGCCTGCCCTTACTGCACCCAGGACTGCAAGAGTAGAATCTGCCCGGCTGGATTCCCTCTTTCAAGTTTCTCAGCTTGAGATGATGTCCCTATCTCTGCTACCCCTTTCCCCATGTTTCCCCTTCACCAAAGCCTCTTCACGTTTTAAAGGCACACTAGTTACAAAGTGCTTTCCACACTGATATGTCCATCTCACAACCTGTGAAGTGGCCAGTCAGGTATTAGACTCGTTACAAATGAGGAAACAGACTCACATGAAAAAATTTGCAGTTAATGATAGATCCATGATTTATCCCTTCTGATTCAAGGTCTAGCTCTCTCCCATGCCCTAGCTTCTTCTTCCTCTGTGGAGGAAACACAGAGGACAGATCCCTCCTGAAGCCTAAGGTGGCATAGGGACAGCAAACAGACTTCCCACCTGCCTTTTCCTTTCCTGCCTCCACAGATGGTGCAGATTCGCTCTCGCCGCTCCCCACACCATGTGGTTTGCTGGGTAGACCCCAGGACCCCGTGTGAGGAGCTTCTGCTTCCGCTGGAGAACTCACCTCTGGGTGAGGCCCGCTTGCTGCTGACAGGCCTCCATGCCTGTGGGGACCTGAGTGTTGCCTTGCTGAGGCATTTCTCCTGCTGCCCTGAGGTGGTGGCCCTGGCCTCAGTGGGCTGCTGCTACATGAAATTGAGTGACCCTGGTGGCTACCCACTGAGTCAGTGGGTGGCTGCGCTGCCTGGCTATGAACTGTCCTACAGGCTGCGGGAGGGGGCCTGCCATGCCCTGGAGGAATATGCTGAGAGGCTACAGAAAGCAGGCCCTGGCCTTCGAACCCACTGCTACCGGGCAGCACTGGAGACGGTCATCCGGTGTGCCCAGCCCAAGCTCCGTCGACCAGGCGTGCAAGGGATCCCTAGAGTCCATGAGCTCAAGATTGAAGAGTGAGGCTTTGGGGGGGAGGGCGGGTCGGGAGCCACCTGGAAGTCTGATTCCCCTCCCACTTGTTAGCAATTCCTAAAGTAAATAAATCTAAATGCCCCCAGGAGAGTGATTCTGAGTTTTCTGAATGGAGAAGCTTCTCCAAATTTCTTTAAAAGGGAGTTGTCACTCTATTATCAGGAGACTATCAGGATTTTTAAATGCTAAGAATATGGCTAAGTAATTGGACAGATCTGGCTGAAAATACATTTTTGGATCGATTTGTTATTGGACAGATAGCTCACAGCCAGAGAAACACTTAAAAATGCAAATTAGGCCCTGGCCTGTTGGAACATTGTCCTGTGCACAGGTCATGGGTTCAGTTCCTGGTCAGAGTGCATACCCCAGTTGGGGCACATATGGGAGGCAACTGATCATTGTGTTTCTCTCACATTGATGTCTCTCTCACCTTCCTCTCTAAAATCATAAAAAAAAATAAAAATGCAAATTAGGGTAGCAAATCAAGCAAAGTTGGAATCAAATTAGGAGTGGACAGTTTGAGTGGGAGGTGGAGGTTCCTAAAACCAAACTGAGTACCATGTGTGGCTGACCCCACAGATATGTGCAGCGGGGGCTACAGCGGGTGGGGCTGGATCCCCAGCTGCCACTGAATCTGGCTGCCCTTCAGGCCCACCAGGCCCAGGAGAACCGTGTGGTGGCCTTCTTCAGCTTGGCCCTCTTGCTGGCCCCACTGGTGGAGACACTGATTCTACTGGACCGGCTACTGTACCTTCAGGAGCAAGGTGAGGGTGACCTATAGCAGGGACCCAGGGCTAGAGGGGCTGGAGTTCTGGGGTTCTTCTTCTGGGTCCCACAGTTCATCACTGTGGTGATTCTTAGACCACCTGCTTCAGAGTCACCAGTGGGAAAGGAGTAGGGTGGGAGACTTGTAAATATAGATTCCTATTGAATGAGCCTGTGGAGTGCATGCCTGAAGTGCATTTTAAGCGAGCATCCCAGGCATTGAGAACTTACAATATGCAGAGGACTGCTTCCTCCCAAGTCAGTGCATCAGGCACCAGTGTTCCTGGTAGAGAACTGGGTTTTCTTAGTCTCTTGGAGCCTCTCCCATGGGGAAAAGGGGCTATGCCTGCCTGCAGCCTGGGCAAGAAGTGGAGCTGAGAGTGGGCTTCATTTCTCCCCTTCTTAGTAGCCTTGCCTTTCTCCCAGGCTTCCATTCTGAGCTCCTGCCCATCTTCAGCCCTGCACTCTCTCCGAGAAACCTGGTTTTGGTGGCCACCAAGAGGCCCCTGGGTCAGGCCTTCTCTGTTCTGGAGACCGAAGACAGCTGATGCAACCTGAGGAAGGGCACATCTTGGACCCCATCCGAAATCACCCAGGTACCACAGTGGGTGGCAGAGTCTGCACTCTTCACCCAGAGAACCAGCATCCTGCATCCTCTGTGGAATCTTGGTGCCCCACAGACCTTCAGCTTCGTACTCTTTCTCTCCCTCCATGAGTTATGTAATAGTATGTAAAATTTTATTTTTAATTTATTAAAAAATGAAAATCTTGCCCTGGCCAATGTGGTTCAATGGTTAGAGCATTGGCAGCACCAAAATGTCAAAGGTTTGATTCCTGATCAAGGGCACAGTACCTGGGTTGCAAGTTCAATCATTGGCCCTGGTCGGGGTGCTTGTGGGAGGCAACTAATTGATGTGTCTCTCTCATATTGATGTTTCTCTCTCCCCCTCCCTCCCTCCCTCTCTCTAAAAAAAATAATGGGAAAAATATCCTCGGGTGAGAATTAACAACAAAAATTAAAATCTTTTATTTCCCTTCCATTTCTAGCAAGTATAGAAAAGGACAGATGTGCACCCTCCCTACTTAGATGCTGCAGGTGTGACAATTAGGTCTTACATCCCCAACCTCCACTGCCCTCCAGTACAGGTGGCATCTTCTGTTACTCAGAGGTCTCCATTGGAGGGAACCTCTCTTACTTTGGTCTCTATCCCGGAAGCTGTAAGCCCTGCCCCTTGGGAAGGCCAACTTAAGGCTAGCTAACTTCCATTCTGGATTCTGTCATAACATTGGGACAGATGCTCCTACCCTCCAGTCCCTGAAACAGGTACAGTGGCGTTAGGGGTGCCAGAAGACAGTAATTGCACAGAGAGGAGGACTCATGGCTCTTTATTGATGTCTGAAGATGTGGCCCCAGCCTTCAAGGCTAAGACAAGGAAGAGGAGAAGTTGCTCTCCCCAGGTTCAATACCAGTAGACTTTCTTGTGTCTCCGAGTCTCCTGTATCCCCATTGCCTCCATCACCTCCTCTTCCAGTGTCTTTAGACTGGGCACATAGGTTCTTTCTAAAGCATCTTCCACTGATGTGTCTTTGGGGCCATCTATTGAGCCAGAGGAAAGAAGGTAAGAGTGAAGTCTTCTTAACATCTCTTATTCCCACTTTTATCACCCCCCCACCTCCATCTTCCTGTCCCTCACCCAGCCTCACCAATCCATGTTTCAGGGACAATGCCATCAGCTCTGGGAAATTCAGGTTTGGGAATAATTCTTCCTGATCTTGTGGAGACTCGGACCCGCTCTCCTGCCTCAGTAAATCTCCACTCCACCTCAGTAGGTTTCCTAATGGATAGAAGAGGTGAGCCTGGCCTGGGAGCCAGGTCTCCCTGCTACTCCACAGCCTAAAATTCAATGGCTGAAAATACTAAGGTCAGCATCTTGTTTCACTGCTACCTCTGTATTAGGATTGCCTACAGGGGGCCATGTCCACAAGATGGCCCCTCTCAATTTCCAGACCATCCAAACCACCATTCCCATCAAATAAATGTGGTTAACACCTGCATAAACTCAGAGGATGGGAAACCCTCTGACCAGAACCCCATATGCTTGCCTGTCCACAGGATCCACAAGTTTGACCTGGTTGTGGAGCAAGGGTGCTTCACTAGGGATCATGGTTCCTCGGTAATCCTTGGTCCTGCCAATATAGCGGTAATGCTGTCCAAAAGAGGGGTGTTATCAGAAACCAAACGGAATGAAGGCAACTTGCCTACTGCAGCTCTGAGCATCCAGTCCATGTTGAAAAACAGAGGTTCAGTTGTTTCACCATGCCCTCAGCTAGTCTCCTGACTCCCTGTGCTGCTCTTTAATAGAGAGAGAGATGGGATAGGCTTCCTGAGCATCCACAATCCCACTCTTCACTTACTGTATTCAGTCCCTCCAGGACCACCCAGTTTCGCTGCCGGATAACTTGAACCACTTTGCCTTGTTTCCCGGCATCCTTGCCTTCTAGGATCTCCACCTGTGGCAAGACATGAGGGTGAGGGAGAGGATCCTTCCCCAGGAGCTCCCCACCACTCTACCCCATCTGAGGCTCTCACCCTATCCCCACAGAACAGATGCCAGTCTTCATCAGAAATGGGTTCCACAGCCACTGGGCGCCGCCTGGTCCCTGGCGGGTTCCTCCTCTTGTCTGCCAGGCTACCTGGGCGGCTCATCCCATAGCGGTAGTTGGGGGGCAGAGTGACCTTGGATGCCAAGGCCAACAGGGCTGAGAAACGCATGGCTGAAGGCTGTGAGAAATCCCCTGGCCTGGAAAAGACCCAGAAACCTTCCTAGTCAGCTCTGGGATAGACAGGTAGAAACAAGGGGCAAAGAAACAAAGGAAGGATTTTTTTTTAAGCATTTACTCCATCGCTCAATGGGTCTCATCTCGCTGAATCCCCACAAGGTATTATCTTCACTTTACAGATGAGGAAATAGAGAGGTTAATTGACTTGGCCATGGTCATAAAGCTACTATGCAGGAGAATCAGCATTCGAACCCACATATATCTGATTTCTAGTCCAAAAGGTTCATTGAGGCCAGGAACCACATTATTTAGCTCCCCCTGAATCCAACAGATCTCAGTAGGGCTTGGCACATAGGAGGTACTCAAGAAAAAGTTATTAAATAAATACACGCACAGCAGGATAGGAAGAAAACAGGTGATGGAACAAAACACTGGCATAAGGCCAAAAACCAGGCAGTTATAAGGTAAAACAAATGGAAGAGAGAAAAACTGGGATTGAAATGTTCCTACATCACTTCAAATTCCCATCTTCAGTCAGGAAAAGACCACTCCTCCCTCAGCTTCTTTTCTAAAAGAAAAGGACCCAGAGCCAGACTCTAGGATTATTGTGTCCTAATTTCTCAACTATGTACTGTAAGCCTCCCAATTTTGGGTGATGAACTAAATCAACAAGGTGGTGAACTGAAGGCAAAAAAAAGTGCTTCCGTTTATTGAGCATTTGCTACCTGCCAGGTGCCATGCTAAGTGCTTTCCTGTAGCATATCATTTAAGAAAGGAGGTAGCATTTGTCTTGTTTTATAGCTAAGAATGAAGTCTAGCCTCAAAATACAAATAAAGTACACTATGATGGTATAAACATCTCTGGACTGGGAGTCAGATCACCTGGGTTCTACTTCCTCCTTCACCATCATCTTATTCTGGGACCCAACTTAACTTCTGAGTGTAGGTTTCATCATCCATAAAACTTTACAGGGTTGTTGGTGTCATTCCAATTATTTTTAATACTTAAAGAATAATGTGAACAGTATTATCTGTTTTGAGTAAATTAAAAAATATATATTTTTTCTGGTACAGGCATAAATATTTATCAGAAGGAATTAGGAAATAACTCCAGTACTTGTTTTGGGGGGAGAGGAACAGTTTGGGAGGGCTGTTACTTTCCATCTGGTTCCTTGCCATAACATTTGCATTTTTAAACCACGTGTATTTAAAAAAAACAGTTTATCTAAACAGTGAGATATTGTGTCATTTTTTCCCTCATACTTCTCAATATGAAAAAGGCCTAATGTTATTTTCAATTAATGTACTTGAATGTAAGAGTTTCATTGTTCCCATTCAGATTCAACAAATGGTTGGTGAGCACTATTATGTGACAGACAGTCTAATGCTGGAAATTACTGGCATTTGATCTTCACAGTGCCCTGTGATGGAGGTAGACAGGAGACAAGGAAACCGAGACCCTGAGAGCTGAAGTGCCCGTTCTAGCTCATACAGTTTGACTGGAGCAGAGCCAATCTTAAGACCCACGACTCCTGCATGAAGTCATTTAAAAAGTGAAGCTCTGGGAGGAAATCCCAAAAGCCAGCCCCCCGGATCTTGTCCTTTTCTTCCCCTCCATACCCTGGAGAGGCTGGAGTCCCTTTCACAGTGGGGCTTTGGCGCCGTGCTCTGGAAGCGCCGTGCAAGGCAGTGCGGTGGAGCGTCCGTGTTTCAAGCCCCAGCTCCAAAGGCTTCCCCGCCAAGCCCCTTCCCAGGTGCGGGAGATGTCCAGCCCCAGCAGTCTGCACCACCCACGTGCTCCAAGCTTCCGGTGCAGGGCAACTTCAGGCGATACCACTGAGCTACAGCCCGGGAAAAAGAAGGCCCTTACCGCACCCACCTTCCCCGCCTGCGCCGACCTCTCCTCCGCTTTCCGCTGTGCCGCGGAGTCTCCGCCTGTTACCTCTAGCACGTGGGCCCCCGAGCCCCTCTCGCCTCTGCCCCTCGGCTTTCTGGGAAATGTAGTCTAATCGCAGAGCGGAAGCTCAATCTAGCCCCTCTGCATGCTGGGAGTTGTAGTCCGAAGCTACGAAGCAAGCTGAAACAGGAAATTGAGTCGAGTAGGAAATCAAGGAAGCGTAAGATCACGGTGAAGCATGACGGAAGTTGGAGGCAAAGCGGGATAGGCTGCCGCACCTGGCACATTCCCGAACATATTGTGAAGGCTGCTGGGAATTGTAGTTGAGACGATGGCTCCATTTTCTAGATGGTTGTGGCTTCCAGTTCAAAACAGAGGCCACTGTTTCCAAGGAAGGCTACAGAGAGTACTCTCCCCACAAGCCCTTCTCTGTTGGACGCGGCCAAGACAGATTAAAAAACTGTCATAGGTCTTCTAAAGGAAGGGATGTAACGTGGGCCTTTCCAATGCCAGTCAATGATCTAGTCACAAAATGTCAAATCTGAAAGGAACCTGTGGTCTAATCCAGCCATTTCACTGGTTTAGTGCTGGGAAGATTCCACCCTATCAACCTCCGCGCCTCTAATCACCAGTTAAGGGGGCCTGGCATACTTGGCTCCAACCTTGGGTGTCAGTTACCTCTACAACCAGCCCAAATACCCCCACTTCCACGGCTATCCTGCGCTTTGGCTGATATCGACACCCTCTTACACCCTACATCTTGTGCAACCTTTTAAAAAATATTTCCAGGTGCTTATGGGGCAACCTATGTTAAACAGTAGCTGGGCAAAAGAAGTAAAACGAAATGGTGTAGTTTGTTCTGTGACTGCCCTCATGTAGAATTTTGGTATTTTGAACAGCCTGAGAATGGAAGAGAGGCTGACACCACCTACCTCACTGAGAAAAGTTAATTTGGAAATCATTTGTATTCCCCTTCCCCTCTCTTCAATACACCCCCCAAAAATCAGTCAGAATCCAACATAGTAATCAATGGGTTTATTTTCCTAGAACTGAAATTGTCTACGGTTCTGAGAGCTAAACTTCTACAGTCAGCAATTTTTCATCAGAGCCCTAGGGAGAGGGACAAGGGTGACAGGGACACGAGATGGAAGAGGCATAGAGACCACTAGAAAGAGGTTGGGAGAGGGCATTCATTTCCCCGTCCTCTCAGTGGGTTTACAAATCAGATCTGTTGACAATACTGAGGGCACCAGGTGGGAGTATATGGATGGGAAATGACACCAGAAGGAACACCAAAGCCCCAGCTACAAAAGGAAAGTCATCAAGCCCAAACAGAAGGGGAGCCTCCCAGTGTACCTCAGAAATGAGGGCAACAGTGGGGAAGAAAGGAGCAGAGTGGGGGGCACACAAAGGGATAGGGGTCTTTAATTTTTTTTTTTTTAATTTTCTTTTATTAAAAACATTTCCTAAAAAATGTGTCTTCTCCTTTATGTCTGGGTGACATGTGACTGTAGGCTGGCCTTGAGCACTGTGGGGAGAGGTGATGGGCAGCTAGGGATCTCCCCAGGGTATCACATCTCTGGCCCAAGATCTAAAAGGGGACAGCTATTCCTCAATACTCCCACCTAAGCTGGGTGAGTCAACCCTTCAGATCCCAGGTCCTTGCCCCAAACAACTGGAAGCCCCAAAATCTTCTGATGAGTAACAACCTCTAGAACTCCTGGGATTAGCAAAGGGAAGAATGAGTGTTATCAATCATCAAGGGCTTATGGAAAGGAGTCCCTCCCCCACTAGCTGTCCCACTTTCCCTGAATCTAGGCAGCTGGGATAATAGGTGTGGGAGAAGGGACAAGAGCTCAAGAAGATGCCATCCTCCTGCCCACTTCATCACCCCAAGTTGAGGATTGTCCCCCTCAGGCCCCAGAAGCCCACCCTTTCTACTCCTAACTCTGATCCCAACCAACCCAGAGATCCACAATGCCCAGGGAAGGGGCTAAGGGGTGTAAGGAGGTGGAGACAGCTCGCCCAGAAACCGTGGGACACAGCTCCAGGCAGGGAGGGATATAATGGCCTCATCTCATCCCATGGAGCACAAGACATGGCCCTGACTCAGATCCCAGGGGTGTGGAGACATGGAGGCGACATGGAGCTAAGGGCCAGGTAGCCTGCCGCATCCAGGTCAATCTCCAGGGGCTGGGCTTGGGGAGGGAGAGTGAGTGGAAGAGAGCAGGTTGGGGTGGGGAAAGGGTTCCCAGTTTGCAGGCCATGGCCAGTTTCCCCAGTAGCACCCAGACAGCAGCAGGAACGGGGCAGGGGCTCCTCTTGAAACATTGGTGGCTA